AAATCATCCTTGAATAAAAAAGTTTAAAATGATTTTATTAGTATTGCTGGTAAGTAATCAAAGTACAGAACATATCATTTATTTGGAATCAATAAGAAATATGTTCAATTGACACAAGTGGCGAATAAGGATTAATATAAGTTTAAACAATTAAATTTAATTGATGCAAAACTATTAAAGTTGACAACATGTAACACTAGTAATGCAGATGTGAAAATCACTATAATTACACACATTTAAATTAATTGAAATGTTTTCAGCGATTAGATGGCAGAAATTTATTGGAAGCAAGATCAGTAAAACTTTATTTTGGATCCGATTGGGGAAGCTGTATGGTTTTACTTGGTCAAACTAGGTATAATTAAAACTAATATTTTTTTCAAGCTGCATTATATAAATAAATATCAAATTATCTTTAAATTACATATTACATGGTATCGTAAAATATTATTGCAGGGTGGTAGCACAAGTATCATGTGATATACAGCAACCTAAAACATCACGTCCTAATGAAGGAATGTTGCATATCAATGTTGAACTGAATCCATTGGCAGCCTCACATTTTGATGGTGGTAGACAGTCTGAAGCTTCAATATTAATTAGTCGACAACTTGACAAATGTTTTAAAGATTCAAAATGTATAGACTTGGAATCATTATGTATTATATCTGATAAAAAGGTTAATAGTTGCACATTCATAGTTTTAGAATGAAAAATCATACATATTATAATAATTTATATGATACAGGTATGGAATGTAAGAGTTGACATAAATATTATTAATCATGATGGAAATTTAATTGACTGTGCTTCTATTGCAACATTAGCAGCTTTGTTACATTTTCATAGACCAGATGTAACATCAACTGGTGAAGATATTATAATTCATTCTTTTTCTGAAAAAGATCCTCTTCCTTTAACAGTATATCATTATCCAGTTTGTGTGTCTTTTATAACATTTGAAAGGTCAGTGTTCTTAATTCATCTAATTGCATTAAGTTTAATGTACTTTAACAAAGTTTTATTTTTCAGTGGAGATACAATTATGGACCCTACGTATTTGGAAGAAAGAGTTGGAGTTGCTCAACTCACACTTGGCATGAATTCTTACAGAGAAGTTTGTAGTTTACATTTTAATTATTTGACAAAAACTATGACCGTGCAAGATGTAATATCAGCAGTTTCTCATTATGCAGCAAACTATGCTACTACGTTAGTACAACAGATTAGGGAAGCAGTAACTCAGGATGTGGAAGCAAGGTTAGGAAAACTTTAACCCATTCTCATTTCAAAAGTGATATTCACAATCATAAGTTCCCCTTGTTAGATAAGATGTGATTTGATTGGCCGGGCAAACGAACCAAGCTGTGTCTAAGTTCAGGCGTGTCTAATGAATTTTCAAACTCGATTTTTTGGAAAATGAAGCCGTGTATGAATAAATTTTATTCTTTATTTTCACTTCCTTGCCGGTTATACCACGATTTTCCGAAAACCCTGTATATGTATATATTACATTTGTTTTTGTAGTATATTTTCATGCGAAATTTCTAATATATTTATTTGAAGGTACAAGAAAGATGATCGTAATACAAATCGATTTAAAGAGTGCATAACACTAAAAAAATTGACTACAATCAATACTGAATGTATTAGTATTAAATTACGTAAATGGGGTGAAGTAGAAAAAGTGGAATCTAGAGGTAATATTTTAATAATCACTAATCAATATTTTATTTTTGTTGTATGAAAATTAATATGGATTTAATACTGTCTACCTTTTACAGAAGTTTGCGAAGAAGCTGAGGACAGTAAATGCAGAATTATAAAACCTGGAGAAGGTTCAGCTGAATTAATAGTAGACACTGTAAGTAAAATTTTATTTTCATCATTTCGGCTCTGAAAAGGAACTTCATCTTACAAAATTCAATTGCATTACTTAATCATTCTCATTCCATCTTTGTATTGTAATCTAAATTATACTTTATTTCTATTTCTATCTATATTTTTTAATTGGCATCTATATTTACTCTCTGCCACCCGCAGCTTTTTTGTCCTTTAATTTTTCCAGTGATCCACACCTGACTTGTGTAATGAATTGCTTGCTTCCATGTTTTTCTTCTTAGGTAATTCGGTAGACTCGTAGTCCTAATATACTTATATCTTTGATTGTAGTTTAAATTCCTTATTTTATTATATTGCACTTGTCTTTGATTGCATCTGTTTCTACTTACTAACTATGTACTGTATAATATCTGTTGCCATCATCTGTCATTGCTGTACTTCTATAATGCTAAAACCTTTTCTTCTCAAGTAATTTTCTCTTTCCAGCCTACTTATAGTACTCGACTATTCCTTCTCCTTTATAGAATTTTTTAGTAGTTCTTATGTGTGTGTGTGTGTTTCCTCCTTCTTTACTTATTCTTTGAACTTCTAAGTTCTGTTGCTTGCTGTGTTCCTGACCTTATTGCTTTATGTTTCATCTGGTATTAAATACTCTAGTGTTTGCATACTTAACCCTAAATTCCATTTTATATGTATACTTTATTTGTAACCTTTCTATTTCCTTCCATTCTTTAAACTCCCACAACTATGCTTTCATAGATAACTGCTCCCAAAACTAATGTCTCTTTTTTCCAATTCCATGTATCTAAATTAGCTCTGTTTGCCTTTTTAATTCTTTCTTTGGTACATTTCACCAATCTTCCATCCCTCTGTCGAAGCACTTCAAAATGTGTAAAGTTTTATACACTCCGTATTTTTTTACCTTTTCATAGCTACAGATGGTCTTAATTTACTTAACAAAATAAATTCTGCAGCATATGTCAATTGGTGAAGGTGGACCTAGTGCATGGAATATGTCAGAATCTTCAGAGGAAGCGAGTGATGTAGAAATTACAGCTGAAGTAAGGAAAGAAGAGAAAGTAAGAAAAAAGATGCCAGATGACACAGGTATACTTTTAAAAATGTATACTTTTTAGTCATTAAATTTACATCATACTTTTAATATATAGAGCATTAATAAGTAGAGTTGTTATTGTTTTAGAAATAAATGAAGACAGTGAAGAAGAAGCTACTGAAATGTTAAATACAGAAGACATAATGCAGTAAATTGTAAAGTAATAAAATGAGAAGAATAGAGTTACACAGAAAGTATTCTATCATTTGTCCTGCTAAGTCAATAGATGCACCTTTTTTATTGAATATCATATAACTGTAAGTGCATAAAAATAAAAGTTTCAAATTAATCGTTATACATAATATATTTTTTAGCATGTTTTATACATAGATCTTATAAAATACCTATGCCTATTAACAAGTAAAAATCCATACATATACTTTTGATCTCACTAGTAAAATATCATTACAATAACAAAATTCATACTCATAAAATATAGCATAGGCTATGTGGTATCATTACTTAAACCATTCTTTTGATCCAATTTGTTTGCATTCGTTTTTACTGTGTACATGAAAAAGCTTAACGCTTCTCTTTCAACTACAGGGATGGTCTTAAAATGCTTCATAAGAGTCTAAAACAAAAAAAAATGCATGACTCATTGATGAAATATTATCTACTGTATCTTCATAATTCATTCCTTTTGTTTAAGCTATTAATTGTTAAACTTACATCTGCTAATTGAGCTTTATTTAAACCTGGACGTGTAGAAACTTTATAATGCCTCTTATACCGCCTTAAAGTACCAACTTGTAATTGGAAAAGGTCAACCTCTGGAAGGTCATTGTCAGTTTCTCCAGAATCTTCTTCAGAATCTTTACGCCTTCGCTGCTGCTGTTGTTTTGATCTTGCACATTGGATTACTTGTTTATGATAATCACAAATGTATATATGACGTGCCTATTGACAAATCAAGTTCTTATCATATAAAATTAAATTGCAACATTAGAAAGTTTCCTTTTAGAATATGATTATCCAGGAATGACTTCAACAACTATTATTTACAAATACTGAATGTACAATGTTCATGTATGTATTTCATTGTACAACTAAGTATATGTTGCGAAACAATATGACAATACACTTAATAACATTTTATAATAACTATTAAAATAAAAATGAATTAAAAAAATAACATTAGATCATATACTTACAATCTTGTTTACTAATTATTAAAACTTTAATCATTCACGATGAATTTTTAAAATATATTCTTTTTTAACTACCGACATTTCATTATTCTTCATATATAAATAACTATTTAATTGTTACTACTCACATATAATGTAACAATTATACAAAAAAAATTAAAAAATAAGTGTAATAAGTAATTTGCTGCAATAATTTTCCTACAACTATCTTTAATTATTAATCTTACCACTTGATCGAGATTAAGTTTCAATCGCCGCTGTGTTACAGTTTTTTGAATTCGTTTACTGTAAGAAGCGTTGCCAGCTGGCCGAGTGCATCGTTCACCCTCATCTACAAGGCAACAAATTTGATCAGCAGCTCCTCTGGAATCTTCTTCACCGGTACTGAATCCATTCATTTTTTTTTATTCTTAACATCAACTAAATCGGTATGAAGAGTATGTAGAACTTTAACAACCTCGAAATGTCACGACGTATATGTTTGTGTCAAAAAACGGCGTGTCCCAGAGTAAAATACACTCGGCGATGTCTGCTTTTCACACTCATAATTTCCTGTCAAATTTCATTTGTTAAACACAATTCATTAACGAAATTCACTTCTCTATTCACAATAGAATATAACTTTTGGTAACCGGTATCTTATAAATCAATCATTTAAATAATAGTAGAGTTTGTGTTATAGGCACCTCAACGTTGAGCGATATTCTATAACGTTTCACTTTCTTTCCTTTTCCTCAAATAATTTAACATATGAGTCATTTTTATATATCCACTATACAAGTGTTTTGTGCATCTTGTCACAATACAAACGTTTAACCTTGTTATTTCCAATGCAACGGATTTTCGTTATTTAATGTTCTCAGCTATATGTAATTCTTTGCCAGCTTCACCGCGTTTTGTTATTTACACAACTACATTGATTAACACGATACTGCGAAAGGTGCATATACATATACATATATATGGGTGCGTGTGTATTTGGTTTCCATGCATATGTATACAATATACGTGTGTATATGCATTCAAGACGGTTCAACTTTGAGGCATTCCTATCCTGTAAATTCNGTTATTTAATGTTCTCAGCTATATGTAATTCTTTGCCAGCTTCACCGCGTTTTGTTATTTACACAACTACATTGATTAACACGATACTGCGAAAGGTGCATATACATATACATATATATGGGTGCGTGTGTATTTGGTTTCCATGCATATGTATACAATATACGTGTGTATATGCATTCAAGACGGTTCAACTTTGAGGCATTCCTATCCTGTAAATTC